AGCTGAAAACAGCACCTCAGACTGAGGAAGTCTCTTGGATGAGAGACGAAACGTTTCTATATTTTTTTGCTTTGTTTTATTTTTTGTTTTTTTGAATGTCCAGAGGACCAGATTGAACTTTTTTGGATTTTTCTACCTGGATTATTGAGCATGCATCAGGATGTTTTAGATTAACTTTCATTCTCACGGCTCAGTTCAAAGATTTATAATGAAAGGTGGATGTTTTCCTTACTAATCTGAGGAAAAGAAAAGTTTTCATTCATTCAACCTTTATTTATACACGTTAATCCCACTGAGCCTCTGGGACTCATTTACAAGAGAGACCTGATGTTAACAAAGAGTGACGACAACAGTGGACGACAACAACAACAATAGACAATCATAAAAGACGCGTAAAAATTTATTATTTTTTTGTTCACATGTTCACTTTTCTAATCCACGATTAAATATTACCGTATTTTCCGGAGTGTAAGTCACATCTTTTTGCATAAATTTGCAAGTCCTGCAAGTTATACCCCCAAGCGACTAATTTATGTACAAAGTATTTCCCCCCATATTTATAACCAATTTTTGACTGACATCTGATGCTTTCATTCATTCTGACATGGAAAATATTGAACACTACCATTTGCAGCCGCTAGAGGCGCTAGAGACCCTTTAGGTTTTTGACAACTACCCATAAGCGTATCTGTTGATTCCAGACCCGCTAAAACCCCGCTGGTCGCTTCATTTTGACATGTTTTGAACATTAAAGTGCATTTAATAAGGAAAAGTTCAACTAAGACACACCTTTGCAATAATTTCGAGCAAACAAATAATTGTTTTAAGTGTTAATCTTGTTAAATTCTTGTTAAAGTCCTCCCGTGCACGCTCCCGCAGTCATCATTTGGCAGCCAATTGCTTTTTGGCACAACACCGGTCCATGTTTACGGGTTGTCAGTGGTGACGCATAACAGTTGCGACATATGGTGAAGTGACTTATTTATGTTTTCCACTTTATTAGACATTTTTGGACTGATATAACTTACACGTGGGTGTGACTTGTATGGCGGAAAGTACGGTAAGTTAAAAAAAAGGACAATATAATAAATGTTTTTTTTAAGTATTTATTTTTGTTTAGGGCATCATAAATGTCACAGCTTCTGCAGTTAGTGCAAGTCAAAATGGTAACATTGACTACTTTTGTGCATCTATTCATCTAACATTTAAATCCAAACCATATTTCTAATCTTCATCATAAACTTTTAATTCCTAAATTATAAAAAAATGAAAAATTAATTGAAGCCATTTAAACTATTTTTATGTGTTACAAGAACGTTTTCAGATCTGATTCATTAAAAGTGTCTCCAACCCTTTTAATTTTTGTCAAAGGCATTTCTAGCTCTTCTTAAAAGTGCTACAACTAATAAAAAACCATAGTGCCTTATAATAATTAATTAAAAAACCTGCTCCAGATCTGCCTCACATCATTTCAAAAGTGCACTCCAGTAGCATAAAGGTAAAGATGAGAGTGGTTGAGGAGAGTACAAAACAAACTGATGCAACGATATGAAGAGGTTCAACCAAATCTGTGCAGTGCCTGCACAAACAAGCTGTCTCTGACGTGGCTTGCTGGCTGCTTGGTTGCAAACATCTACAGTTCCACAAGACAACAACTAAAAATTTGCCAATTTTCTCAGAGTTTTGAGTTGCCAACAAGTCTCTGACAGATTCCTGTGAGATGCTGTGTTTACTCTGCACCACCTGCATCATTCAGTCACTTCTCTCCAGGTGTGTTAGATAAAACATCTGTTGAATTTCAAGACAAAATCCATTCGGCCATCTATCCATTTCCTGTATCTTTTTGATCCTGTGCAGGTGGAAGGGAGCTGGTTCGTATCTCTAGTAGGTAGTGGATGAGAGTTGGCACACCTTAATCACCAGTCATCACAAATATGCTTTTCAAAAAGAAAATAACAGATTCATTATATATTATTGGAACAAATCAACACCTATTGCTGTTTTTATATATTTATTTTTCATCTTAAACAAACACAAATGTAGGGAACATATTTGTTGAGCTTGCAACAAATTACAAAAGATGAAAAAAGTGAAGAAAAATGAAATTAAGAGTTAAATGTTGCATTGAACACTTTTGTTTTGGTTCAAGTTCAAGAATCTTTATTATCCCGAAGGGGCAATTTGTTTCACAGTCAGGAGGCACAAAAAACATTCATACTAAACAAGACATGAAGACATTAAAGTAATACATGAAGTCATCACTGTTTGTTGAGAAGCCTGATCACTACAGGGATGAATGAGTTATTCAGTTTGTTTGTTCTACATCTGGGCAGCAGCGTCCAGATGGAAGTAACCTGAACTCCCCGTGGAGTGGTGATCAGGATCTGCCAGAATCAGCCTGACCTTGTTCACTGACCTCGCCTTGTGTAGGTCAGTGAGGCTCTAGACTGAACATATTCATTACAGTATTTTATATTAATTCTATTAATTACAGTATCTTATATTAATTCTATTAATTACAGTATTTTATATTAATTCTATTAATTACAGTATCATATATTAATTCTATTAATTACAGTATTTTATATTAATTCTATTAATTACAGTATCATATATTAATTCTATTAATTACAGTATTTTATATTAATTCTATTCATTACAGTATTTTATATTAATTCTATTAATTACAGTATTTTGTATTAATTCTATTAATTACAGTATCATATATTAATTCTATTAATTACAGTATTTTATATTAATTCTATTCATTACAGTATTTTATATTAATTCTA